GCAGCAGCAGCAGCACCACCAAGAAGATCAACATCACTACGAGCAGCAGCAGCAGCAGCACCACCGTCAAGAAGATCAACATCAGCAGCAGCAACAGCAACATGCACCTCCACCACCGCCACCAGAGCAACCACCACCGCCGCCACCACAGCAGCACGCGCCAAATCCGCATGAGCACCATCCCGATGCACATGAACAGAACAAACTGAATGAAGCAGAGAGGGCGCCACCACCACCACCACCACCACCCCCGCCGCCGCCGCAACAACAGCAACAGTTTCAACACCCGCAGCAGCAGCAGCAGCAGCAGCCTCCTTCTTACCACCAACAACAACAGCACCAGGAGCCTCCTTCTCAGCACCAACAACAGCAGCAGCCTCCTTCTCACCAGCAGCAGCAACAGGAGCCTCCTTCTCCCCAGCCGCCGATGACCCCTGAACAAGAGCGTCTAAGAGAGTTGGAGCGTCAACTGGAGGAGATGAAGCGCCGCAATCGCGCCCCACGACGAGAGCGCCACCGTGACGATGATGACAGGTACGATGACGACGAAGACGGTGACGACGAAGACGACGACAGGGATGATGTAGCAAGGGATGATGATGAGTACGAGGAGAAGCGGCGCCGGGCATCCAGACGCCGCTCAAGGATGCAGCGCAACACCCGCAAACGCCGCACGAAGGAATAACTGGGGATGGGTACACATATGGGCTACACTAGCAACAAGGTCGGAAACAAAAAGGGTGGTGATGATGATGATGATGATGGCGAAACGCGAGAGAGACGAAAGCAACGAACCACTGACAAGGTTCTCCTGCGGGCTATTTAATGGGAGACAATCGGTCGTTGAGCAGAGTACACTCGCTTCCCCACCACTGTATGAACTCCCTGCACACCTTTGCAAACTGGCAGGCCTGCATCCTCATACACACAGCGGCATACCCAGCCGCCCGATCTGACTCTCCTTCTGCCATGATCTCACTCCTCATTTCCCTTTTTTTTCTTTTCCCTCCACCCTCGTGGTGCTCTCTTTTTACCATCCCTGTGACGCCACTAATGCTTTCTTCTTGGATAGCTACGTAGTTGTGGTCGTTGTGCATCTTCCACTTCCGTCCCAATAGTTCTCTGTGCATCTTCGCGGCGCCATGGGTCGTGGGTACAGCAACAGCCGTAGCAGGACTGCGCGGCCAACACTCGGCATGAAGCGTCACCGTTCGCTGTCGATGCAGCGCCTGCGGGAGTCACTGCCACCTGCCACAACACACAAGGCATCCACGGCGGCAGCAGCAGCACCGACAAAAGCGGCGGCGAAGGCCAAGTCACGCAGCCCCGCGGCGGCGGCTAAGCGGACGCCGACAGCGCAGAACAGAAGCACCGCGCGTGTGCGCTCCGCCTCCACGATTCGGCAGAAGCTCGCGCTGATGGAGCGGGAGCTCGCAGATGAGTTGGAGCCGACGGAGCAGGTGGCAGAGACAATTGTGAAGCCGGATGTCATGACGAAGTACAAATCCGCCGGCCGCGCGCTCGATGAGGTCATGGACATCGTGGCGGCCGCGTGCGTGCCGGGGGCCAACACGAAGCAGCTATGCGACCTCGGCGACACGGAGCTGCTGCAACGCGTGTTGGGGATGTTCTCCAAGGCGAAGGATTCCAATGGCAACCGCATCCTCCGCGGCCTCTCATACCCGACAAACATCGCGGTGAACCACACGCTCTGCAACCACGCCCCGCTGACGGAGGAGGAGGCGGCTGTGCTCTGTGGCGGTGACGTGGCTAAGATCCACATGGGCTGCCACATCGACGGCTATCCAGTCACTGCGGCACGCACTATCGTCGTGCCACACGACGGCTCGGTGGATGCTGCCGCCTCGAGCGCGCTGACACGGCAGCTGACGCAAGGTGCCAGCAATGCCGTTGAGGCGGCGCGTGTGGCGCTGCACGGGATGATTCACTTGTTGCAGCCGGGAAGATTGAACGCCGATGTCACGGACTTCATTCACCGCGTGGGGAACCACTTCGGCGTGCAGGGGCTTGAGGGCGTGCTGTCAAACCGCACAAAGCGGTGGGTACCGGACGGCATGGACAGCATCATCACACGCCGCGTGACGGTGGAGGATCCCCATCAAGACGTCGCCGAGTGCTGCGTTGGCGCAAATCAGGTCTGGACGCTTGACGTCGCGTTCACTGATCACCCGTCGTACAAAGTTAACCTCGCTGACAGCGCCGCGACGATATTCCGCCGCACCGAGGTGGAATTCCAGCAGGACGCCCGCGTGCGCTCCGTGCATGCCTCGCTGCAGGAGATCACTGACAAGCACCAATGCTTCCCCTTCAGCATCAAGCACCTTGACAACCCTCTCAAGGCGCGCATGGCCGTGGCGATGCTGCGCAAGCAAAGCGTCGTCGACCCACTGCCAGTGCTGCGCGTGAAGGGGGAGCGCCACATCACGGCACGCTTCTCCGCCACGGTGGCAGTGTCAGCGAGGCGTGTGACGGTGCTATGCGGGCTGCCGCCGGCAGAGCCGCTCGCTGTGCCGGATGACGTGCGCCCGCCGCAGGTCGCTGATGACATCGCCGCCGTGTTGACGGAGCCACTCGTCTTCCCGAAGGAGGGGCCGCCGCCGCAGAAGAAGGCACGCACAGAGGGCGGCAGCAGCGGCCGCCGTTCTGCAGGGCGTGGTGGTGAAAATGAAGACGCGAAGGCGTGAGTGTTCGCGCGGCGAGAGAAAGAGGGAGGGAAGAGCGCATGTGTGTGTGTGGCGCCGGCGCCACACGGGTAACGATTTGAAGGATGAGAAGACGTGTGCAGGGTGGAGCGGGGCGTAAGCGAAATAAGGCGAGGTAAGCTAAGGTGCGCAAAGTGTGACGGGAACGCTCAAAGAGGAGTCGTTCAATGGGAACCTACCACCAAGAGTAGTAAGGAGAAGCCAATGGGAAGGGAAAAGTGAAGAAGAAGGCGAATGCTGAAGGCGCATCCCGATATCTGGGCTGTGGAAAGAGACAGAGGGAGGCGTATGAAGGCTGTGCCCGCATGTGTGTCCGTGTGTGTCCCTTTACCGCTGAGAAATTTTTTTTGCCTTACTGTTCTTTCCCAATTTTTGGTTGATTTTTGATCCGCTGCTTGGCTCTGGTTCTCTTCTTTGGCCCTTTGTTGTTTTGGCTGCGCCTGCTCCCGCTGCTTTCGCACGGATTTCTGCTTTTTTTTTTATGAAGAGTTCATGATTTTCAAATTAATCGAAAAAGAAGAAAAAAAAAATGCCCCCTTGAGGAGTTTAAGTGAAAAGAGGGGCGACGATTAACCGGATATGCTGAAGGAGAGAACACTGTGCGAGATCACTGCGCGACTCCCATCACACCGCCGTGCCCACAGGTGCTTTTGTTATTATTATTATTGTTTGTTGTTGCTCGTTCTTCTACTTCATTATTCTTGCTTTCGTCTTGAACTCAGTGGTCAGAGAGCACGTTCATCGACTCCATATACCGCGCGCCCCCCCCCAAAAAAAAGGACGGGTGATTGAGGAAAATAACAAAACAAAAGGGGAAGAAGGATCGCTGAACCAACAGCCTCCCAAAAAAAAAAAAGCATAGAAACGAGAAAAGGGAATAAAACGAGGAATCATATATCAATAGATACGCACTTTCTTGGGCAAATTCAACAGGACATTACTTTCAGTTATTGATTTCTCTTTCAACCTGGGGAATATGAGCAGTGGCATCGGTCTGCAACAGCACTGCGGTAGCCTTCACGAACAGGGCTTGCCACACGGTCTCAGCACGGGAGCCGTGAACTTCTTCATGGCGGCTGGTGAAGGCTATGCGCGACAGCGGATGGAGTCTCAGACGTACTGGGGCTCAGGGGCGCCCCAGCAGCAGACTTCTTCTGCCCCGGTCTATGGCCCCAGTAAGGCCCCACGCCTTGAGCAGTTTGTCGATCTTTCGACCAACAGCGGGGGCATGACTCCATTCTTCGGACTCGGTGATGTTGCCAATGACGCTGGATGCCGAAAGGGGGAAACCGCAACGGCAGAGGGGAAACGACGTGAGGATGAGACGAAGATGGAGGAGTGCCGTGTGATGCTGTACCCCGCTATTGTGTTCAACACCCCACAGCAGCAGAAGCAGGAAGTACGCGTGTCGGTGGGTACTCCCACCCCGTTCTCCGCTATGGGGATGACGCTGTCGCCCGCTACGGTGGGCCGTGATCTGGCGTTCGCCACGCCTGCCTCCACGGTGGCCAGCGGTAGCACCGCTCGCGTGGAGCCTCGCGCCCGCCCTCTTTTGCGAAACGCTAACGGAAGCACCACCAGCACTACCCCAACGACCGCAACCGCGACACCGGGCGGCGTCCCAAATTCCCTTGCCACGGAGCTGGAGTCCGCCTTTGAGGAGCAGCCGTTGAGGCGGCGGGTGGAGGTGAAGATAAGTCACAGGGTGGGGGGTGATGCGGCGCCTCAAACCGCCGAGATGGACACCACCCGTGGCAGGGATGATACCCCACCGGGCAGCAAGGAGCAGGGAGTTGCAGAGAGTGGGCGAAGGGAACGTGCTTCACGGCGTCGCGGTAAGGATCAGCAGCGGCAAGTCAAACCGAAGAACGGCTCCCCGCAGCAGGCGCAACGCGGCAACAACACGAGGCGCTCGCTTCTCCACGCCCTTTCAGCATATGAGGGCATCCACTCGGGGAATGATAACCGAAAATTTCTTCTTGATTTGCAGTGCCACGGCGGCCGAACGGCCACTGTACTGTCATGCATGGAGCTGCAATCCGGTACCCACATTATTTTTGAAGGTGACCGCGGTGTTGATCTTGGTGAGGTTGTTAAATGCGAAGAGTCAAACAACACCTCTTCTGGGGGCCCAGGCGGCAATGACCGCGAGACACTGCATGCTGTGCGCTGCGCGACGGACGAGGAAGTCGAGGAATGGAAGGGAGACCTTGTGGCGAAGGAAGAGGAGGCGGTGATTCAATGCCGCGCGGCATGTGAGGAGCTTGGTCTCACGATTCGTGTCGCCTCTGCTGCCTTTCAATTTGACCGGCAAAAGCTGATCTTTATGTATGAAAGCGATGAAAGAGTGGATTTCCGCACGCTGCTGCAGGCGATGTTTTCTAAGTATCGCTGCCGTATCTGGATGGAACGCCTCAACGCGGAGCCCTAAAAGAGAGTGGTATATATGTATTATATGGCATATGATATATTATATCCTTTTTTTTTTTGGTGGGGGTTGGGGGGTGCCCGAGGCCACATAGAAGCACACGGCGTGTGACGTATACGTAATTATCCTCCGGACGGGAGGAATCCCCCCCCCCCAAAAAAAAAGG